ATAAATGAGGATGGGGAGAACAGGAGGAAGAGCTCACCTGAGGAGAAAGACATCAAGTTTGGATTTGGATATGCTGAATGCTCACCGAGAGCAGCTTGGATGCCACAGTCTGACAGACCTAGTTTTGCATCCCAGTTCTACTACAAATTAGCTGGAACACTGGGAAATCTACTTAACTTAGCTGAGCCTAAGTTTCCTAGAATGCAGAAAATTAGCTTAGCAATATTTATCTTGCAAGGCTATTGTAAGGAATGAATCAGAAACTACACCTAACACAAGTTGATGTTTGATAATAGTGGCTGCTGAAATTGTTTTCATCATCTTGATCCAAGTGACAACATCTAGGAAGTAGTTGGATATCTGGACATGGAGGTTGAGAGAGATATGGGGAGTCCCTCTAGCTACCCCCAGTCTGAGCTCAGAGCCCTCAGATTTCAGATAGGGAAAAGTCCTCCTTGAGAAGATCAATCTGAGAAAAGTTTATCCCCAACCAATAGCTTTGGCCTTTTGGGGGTCATACTGAGTCTCAGAGCATCTTAAATCAGGAGCCCCAGAAGTTATTTTTCTAAGTCTTGGAGATTGCCAGAAATAAATGCTTTCATTGGAATGAGCTAATACAGGCAGATATGTTTAAAATAATTCTACTGTTAAAATGCCTCTTGCATATTATCAAAATATTTAAATAATAGTGAAAAATGCAAAGAAAGTAAATATAGCTTCTAACAAATGCCCTCTACCCACAAATACAGGAAGAGGAAAGGAAGAAGGAGGAAGATTATGCTAGATTGCTAGATGTACTTATTTTAGATAAAAAGTATGAAAATTTAATTGAACTTGAATTAAAGTAGAGTGAAACTGTAGGAATTGCTGAATTTTGGCATTTTCTTCCTCTAGAAAACAGAGATTAGTTTTTTAAAGTTTAAAATACACATTATGAAATGCATTAAGAGTTTGGAGTCATTGAGGTACTTTTTTTACATTCCATGTTTTAAATTTGGATTATTGACTTCCTATTGAAAAAGATGAAAGTGACCACATTTCTTCCCACCTTCATATTTCTTCCTATCCTTCCATCTCCACAAATACAAATGATAAATTATACTTTTTATGCTGTCAAGGCTTTACCATCTACGTTCCATTCTGTAAATATAGTTTCTATAGTTAGTTAGCCCTAAACTTATATGTAAAAGGATTTAACGTTGACCATCATTCCCTTTACGATGGCTCACTATTACCTAGTTTGTGATTTTGATTTGTTTTGTTTAGCTAGATTTTATTATCCAATAGTTTTTCTAGAAGGGCTCAAAGGTGTGTTTCCTGAATTTTAGTATGTTTAAAAATGTTATCTTTATTCTTGAAGGACAGCTTGCATAGTTTTAAATTTTGGGTGATTCTTTTCCTCAGAACTTGGTAGATGCTACAGTGTATTTAATGTTGTAGAGAAGTCTGAGATCAGCTGATTTCCAGCTCCCCTCAACCTCCACCTCTCCCTGTAGACGGCTTACTCTTTCCACAAGGGCAGTTGGAGAAGCACTTCTTTATACATATATGTGTGTGTGTGTGTGTGTGTGTGTGTGTGCGTGTGTATGTGTATATATGTATAAATGTATATATGAATTGTTCCTTTTGTTCACTAGTTCAAAGTTCAAAGACACCACAATCGGTAAATTTCTCACCAGTATCTCAACTACAGGTCCATTATTTAATCTCTAAATACTTCAGTCTTTCTTTCTTAGTTGCCATGTAGTTGCCATGCCATTGTTCTCATTTTATTTCTTTTTGATATGGACATTTTCACCTGGATTTTCTCTTTACCTAAATATATTATGAAGGTCAATTTTCATTGACTCTTTCCAACCTTATCTGAGATCCCTGTCCTCCCTGCAGTGCTTAGCTGAAGACTGGATATTTTATGTTTGTTTTATTACTGCTTTGGTGGTAGGGAAAAGGGGAAGTTCAGATGGAGCTGTGTGCAGTGGTGTTTGTAGGATTGGTTTCTGCTCTTTTTCTATAACTTTGTTCATAGTCCAACATATGAATTTATTACACTGCAGTATGGGCATATCTTGTGCTTTTAGGTGAGTAGTAGTGGATTATAGATTATTTCCCCAATTTAGGGTAGAATTGTAGAGACAATCAGCCCAGGTGTTTATTTTCCAGACTTGGCTCAACTATTCCCAGCAGCCATTCTCACTCCCCTGTCAGATAGAGGAAAGGAAAAATAGACAAAATCCAAGGAGTTTGGCCACTATGCTATTTTACAAAAAGTGGTGGTCAGGGGTAGGGAGCAGCTTCAACTGGGGCTTTCCATGTGTCTCCTGCCCACACTTTATTGGATGGGCTTGTTTTATTTTTTTTTCTTTTGTCTTACATTCTGGTAAATCCCTCCATATTGTCTGAGATAATCAGCTCTGGTAGAATGCTGTGCAATCATTCTGCTTTTCCTCTCCCCTCTTACTCAGTAAGAAAAGCAAATAGCAGCACAGGAAGTTTTTTCTCTTGTTGGGAGTATTGTTGTAGTGGCATGGAGATCCTTCCTTTCTGAAGAAACTTTCTGAATCTCCTGTGGAGGCTGCCTGTTCACCCCCTCAGTCTACTTCCCTTCTCATTCTGTGGTATTACACTCTTGCCAGAATTCTTCCTCTTAACATCTTCCCCTCAGTAATGATTCTTTGAGGGAAGAAAAAAGGGCTATCAAGGGTGGGAGCTCTACATTTATTCCTAGCAAGTTCTGTCTTTCTCTAGCCATTATTTTTTTCTGCATATAAATTTTTATTAAAAATTAACATATCATATAATGTATTATTTGCTTTGGGGATACAGATCTGTGAATCATCTGTCTTACCCAATTCACAGCTCTCACCATAGCACATACCCTCTCCAATGTCCATAACCCAGACACCCTATCCCTCCCCCCTACCCCCCCAGCAACCCTCGGTTTGTTTCTTGAGATTAAGAGTCTCTTATGGTTTGTCTCCCTCCCTGGTCCCATCTTGTTTCATTTTTTTTCCCTCCCTACCCACCACGACGCCCTGCCCCACCTCTCAAATTCCTCATATCAAAGAGATCATATGATAATTGTTTTTCTCTGATTGACTTATTTTGCTTAGCATAATACCCTCTAGTTCTATCCACATCGTTGTCTAGCCATTATTTTTAAAGATGATTGCTTTTTCTTATATTTGAGAATTGCTGGTATATTTATGGTTTAAAAATTTTTGTAATTGTTGACTTCATGAGGAGGATAACTGGTTCTAGGATCTACAAGTTCTAGGATCACCCTTCAGACAGCCATCTTATCAAGCTAGACAGCCTCACTAGTTATTTTTTTGGTGGGGCAGGGGAGGTTCAACCTAGGCAACTTGTCTTGGCAAAAGCCCCTGGTATGGCTTTCATTTGATTATTAGTTCTTCTATGGTTCAATTAATCATATAGATTTCTCAGGAGTCCACTGCTTAATTATCTCTGTGCTGGGTGCAGTGTGGATACATAAAAGTATAGCAAAACCAGAGGGAACACAAGGTTTATCATCTATCACACTGAAAAGTCAGAGAGCAGTAAGTGCCAGGACAGAACCCAAGAGATGACTGGTAGATAAGAGAACATCTAGTTCAATCTTATATTCAAAGAATGGTCACTGACTACCCCCATTTCTGGCAGATGGCTCTCCAGACTTTGCTGGGATACCTTAAGTACCAGCAAACTCCTGAACACTGTTCTGTTATTGGAAAGCTCAAAATATTTAAATAATCTTTATCTTGAACCAAACTATATAACTCCTCTTCTCTCTGCATGTTCTCCTTTGGAGAAACTTCTAATTCACATGACTCCCAATCTTAGCTGCACTTAGATGGCTACCACAAGTATACCTCTAGTCCCAATCTCTGGCCTGGTGTACAATTCTGGAAAAAGAGCTGGCTGGAAACCTGCCCATGAGAGATGGTAGAACATGGATGACTAGAAGTCCTGCATGAGAATGGAAAGTAACCATTGTATGGGATGAAGATACCTGATTTGACCCAAGTAAAAGAGATTTGAGGCTTTTAATCCTAAAGGTACCGTAAGCCCATAGTAAGGTGCAGTGAGTCTATGTTGCATGAATAACAAATGTCAATGCCAGGGACATTTGCCCATGTCTTCCTGAGTTCAGCGCTTGTTAGAGCATATCTGGGACAGCAATAGTCAGAACGTGTGCAGGAAGGGAATGATATCTAGAGGGCATAGGCCATAGTGGGTGATAATTAACAGATGGAAAAACAAGGGTAAAGCCTGGAGAAGGGAAGCTTTAGAGAGCTACAAGAGCTGTCTTCAAACAGGAGAAAGATTTATGTGAAGGAGAATACTTGGTTGGTTCTTTCTGCTCTCAGAGCACACACCCAGGATAGTTTTATGAGATAACAAAAGGCTGTTCATTGGTTCTTTTGGCTAAGAGGCATCTATTTCTGGGATCTGTAAAAGATCTAATGACCCTAACTTTACCCTGGAAAAACACTGTTTCTATCTCTATCTATGGGGATGTGGAACCAGATTTCTAGGTAGGACATCAGTGATTGAATCACTGAGTTCATTTGAGAAAGAATAATTGGGCAACAGGCCTCCTGAGAAGCCTGCCAAAGAGAGGGGACTTTTCCAAATATTACAGCTAAAGAGCAACCAGCTTTCAGTTGCCAGAAACCAACCCTGAACCCCAGACACAGGAGCCTGCTTGGTACTGTGGGGAGCAATGGGAAGAACTAGAATTTAAAGCGGACGAAATTGGTTTGAAATCTGACTATGAGTTACTAGTTTTGTGACTTTAAGTTATTAACCTTGCAGAGTCTTGACTTACCTACCTGTAAAATAGGATGATTAAGTTCTAGCTCATTGGATCATTGTGAAGATAAAATAAAAATTATAAAGCCCCTAGCATATAATTAGGTTCTTATAAACTAAAGCAAGGTACCAACAGTGCTACTGTGGTTTCAGACATTTTATAAGTTAAGCACTTTGGTTTTTTTCAGGGCTCCCTTCTGAACTCTCCTCAGCTATTGAGGAAGAAGAACCAAAGTCTGGCTTGGATGTCATGCCTAATATTTCTGACATGCTGCTGCGCAAACTGCGGGTCCACAGGTCTCTTCCTGGAAGGTAAAATGAAGGCATGGGTTGCATAAGACACTGTATTGGGTAGCCCTGTGTCAGATTCTAGATGGGACATAGGACAGCATGGGCCTTGATTTTTGACCCCAGAAAGTTCAAAGTCTAATGGTCCAGACAGGGCTAATGCAGCAAAAAATAAAAAGAATAATAAAGAGCCACATAAGGTGGTTCTAACTCAAACAGCAGATGGGTTTCACAGGTGGGCATGAGGTATCACCAGAGGCTCATGGCAGCAGAGTGTGGTGGACTTTGGCCCAGGAGAAATGGTTTCAGTCTGAGATCTATCATTTACCCATAATTGAGAGATTCTAGGTCTGATTTATGCATTAACAGAGATGTAGAACATTTGGAACCACATGAAGAAGGATTGCTTGGAAAATCTACCAGGCTCTTCCACACACGGAGAAAGTGACTTCACTTGCCAAGTATCAGCCTCCTCACCTATACAACAAAGGTCATACTGAGCTGTCATTGGTAGGATGCTGCACTAGCTAAAAGAGACAGTGTGTAAGCAGGCATGTCAGCACATGGTACACCTTTGATAACTGGATTGAAAAATGAGTGGAGGAGATAAGAGAGGATATCACTAAGGACTAGGAATTGAGTGGGTGCCTGCAATTGAGGCATCCTGCCAGGCTCAAGTAACCTGGAGACTAAATTGTTGGGGGCCTGAGAAAGGCCATTAGGAGGAGAAATCAGATGTAACAGAACTCCCTGATTTGGGGGAAAGGAAAACAAATTTTGTCCAGGCGATGGCGATGTTCAAACTGCACACTATCATCACCTAAAACAGTCATCAGGGCAATGCTCAGAGGGGCCTAGAAACTAAGCCAGCATCAGGAAAAGTGCCAGGAACAGGTCAGAAGCAGGTTGCATTCTGGAGAAAGGGGATCCCTCCTACATTGTTGCTGGGAATGCAAGCTGGTGCAGCCACTCTGGAAAACAGTATGGAGGTTCCTCAAAAAGTTGAAAACAGAGCTACCCTATGACCCAGAAATTGCACTACTGGATATTCACCCTAAAGGTACAAATGTAGTGACCCAAAGGGGCACGTGCACCCGAATGTTTATAGCAGCAACGTCCACAATAGCCAAACTATGGAAAAAACATAGATGTCCATCAACAGATGAATGGATAAAGAAGATGTGATGTGTATATATATATCTATATATCTATATATATATATATATAGATATTTATACATACATACACACACACACAATGGAATACTATGCAGCCATCAAAAAATGAAATCTTGTCATTTGCAATGACATGGATGGAACTCCAGGGTATTATGCTGAGCAAAGTAAGTCAATCAGAGAAAGACAATACCATTTGAGCTCATGGATATGAGGAATTTGAGAAACAAGACAGGATCATAGGGGAAAGGAGGGAAAATCAAACAAGATAAAATCAGAGAGGGAGACAAAACATAGGAGATTCTTAATCTCAGGAAACAAACTGAGGGTTGCTGGAGGGGAGGAGATGGTAGGGATGGGGTATCTGGGTAATAGACATTGGGGAAGGTATGTGCTATGTTGAGTGCTGTGAATTCTGTAAGACTGATGAATCACAGTCCTGTACCCCTATAATACATTATAGGCAAATTAAAAAAAAAGAAACAGGTTGCATCCACAGCTGAAGGAGGGCATGGGTGGGGCCAGTTCATCTCAGGGAAGGCAGAGAGAGGCTGTCCAGAGGCAGGAAACCAAAGGAGAAACATGGCAGCGCACTGCAGGTTACAGAGCATGTTTACATGCTGTGCCTTTTGGTGTTTGTAACAACCTAGTGAGGCAGACAAGGAAGATTTTGTTATCTTCAGTGAGAGAAAAGAGGCAAAACAATATGCTAGTAAGTGACAGAGTCAGGAATTGAACTCAGGGTGGGCTGGTTGCAGACTCAGTGCTTTTCCATTATACTAGGGGCCTGTTACAAGTACCCAAGCCAGCACTGGTACTCTTGTCTGTAAGGAACAAGGCTGGTGAATAGTGTTATTGACTTCTTTTTCCTCAGTAAAGCTGAAGATAATTAGTGTCATTAGAGCTCATCTCCAGCTAATTAAATTCCCCCAGCTTACCCGGGTGAGGGAAACTGAGTGGTTCTATCTTCTATAAGTTAATAGCTACTAGCTACAAACCTTGAGGCCACACTGGACCTGCATGGGCCTGCATGGGCCTGCATGGTCAATGAATTAAGATCAGCTTCTGAACCTGTGGTCCAGGCTCTCAGATTATAGTCAGTGGCTCTCATGCATTGTGTCAATAGCTACATTGCCCATCCCCAAACTCCCTGCTCCAACCACTAAACCAGGCTCCCTCCTCCTGGCCTCAGTAAAGGCTATTTGCAGCTTAGGCTCGTGGCTGGGCCCAGAACTCTCTACCCATGTTTTGGGGCTTGGGATAGATGGGCAAAGAGTTGCCCAGCAAAAGGGGAAGCCAGAATTTTAAGAATCCTTCACTTAGAAAAAATATGGGGAAATTATACTTGAGTTTTAATATGAAGGAGTTGGTTTCATGATCTATGTGGGCTATGTGAATTGGGACTGGACCATACCAAGAAGGAGCTCAGAGAGTCAGCAAATTGAATGAATTCAGTAGAAAAATCAAGTCTGGTGATGCCTGGGTGGCTCAGTCAGTTAGGTATCTGCCTTCAACTCAGATCATGATCCCAGGGCCCTGGGATCAAGTCCCACACTGGGTTCCTTGCTCAGCGAGGAGCCTGCTTCTTCCTCTCCCTCTGCCCCTCCCCTGCTTGTGCTCACTCACTCACGCTCTTTCTCTCTCTGACAAATCAATAAACAAAATCTAGAAAGGAAGGAAGGAAGGAAGGAAGGAAGGAAGGAAGAAAGAAAGAGAGAAAGGTAAGGTCTGGAGCCCAAATTAGGGATATGGTCAGTGGTTGATTAACAAGAGTGCAAAAAGGACATATCACTGGATCAAAAACCAATAGGAGCAATAAATAGGCACTTAATCAATAAGTAGTCATTGGAGTGCCTATTATGTGCCAGACATTAGAATGGAGGACAAATGGACACAGTCCCTGTTATTAGGGCACTTACATTCTAGGCAGAGAGACCAATAATATTCAAGTAACTAAATGTACGATTGCAGACAGCAAAACTGCGAAGAAGACCATGAGATAGTCAAATACAGAGAATAACATAGGGATAGAACATTGGGTAGAGGGTCAAAGAAGGCCTCTATGATAAAGTAGTAATTAATATGAGACATGCAAATGACAAAATGAAGTCATTCATGCAAAGATTTTGGTGAAGACATTTCCAGACAAAAAGCACAGTAATTTCAACAAATGGTGCGGATGACTTGATGCAAAAGAGTAAAGTTGGAATAACTTTAACCTCACACAATACATAAAAATTAACTCAAAATTGACCATAGAGCAAAATGTAGAGCTAGTGCTATCAAACTCTTAGAAGACAACATAAAAACAAATCTTCAAAACTTTGGGTTAGTCCATAGTTTCTTAGATATGACACTAAAAGCACAAGCAATTAGACAAAAAAAAATAGATGAATAGTATTTCATCAAAACAAAAGTTTTATGATGCAAACAATACCACTAAGAAAGTTAAAAGAAAACCCACAGAATGTGAGAAAATATTTGCAAATCATGCATTTGATAAGGGATTTATTTCCAGAATATATCTGGAACTCTCTAATTCAATGAAAAGATAACTAATTTTTTAAGGATAAAGGATTTAAGTAGACACTTCTTCAAAGGATATATATGAGGGGTCAGTAAGCATTGAAAGGATGTGCAACATCAATCTTTAGGGAAATACAAATCAAAATGTTAACAAGATACCATTTCACATCTTCTAGAATGGCTATAATAAAAAAGGTGGATAATAACTAAGTATTGGTGAGGATGTGAAGAAACCAGAGTTCTTGGTAAAATGGTGCAGCCACTTTGGAATAACAGTGTGGCAATTCTTCAAAAAGTTGAATATGGAGTTACCATATGGCCCAGCAATTCTACTCCTTGGTGTATAACAAAGAGAAATGAAAATATGTGTCTACACAAAAACTTATACACAAATGTTCAGTCACAGTGTTTTTCATATTGGTCAGAAAGTGGAAATAGCCCAAATGTCCAATGACTAGATAAGTAAATTGTGATATATCCATATAATGGAATATTATTCAGCCATAAAAATGAAGTATTGATATATGCTACTACATGGATGAATCTTGAAAATATTATGCTAAGTGAAAGAAGCCAGCCACAAAAAGCAACATGTTGTATGATTCCATTTTTATGAAATTTCCAGAATAGGGACATCCATGGAGTGAGAAAGGAGATTAGTGATTGCCTTGGCTGGGAATGGGGCTGGGGGAGATGGATCACTAATGGGTACAGGGTTTCTTTTGAGGATGATGAAAAGTTCCAAAATTAACCATAGTGATTGATGGTTGTATAATTCTGTGAATATATTAAAAGTTATTGAATTATAAATTATAAAAGGGTAAATTTTGTGGTATGTGGATTATATTTCAAATAAAGCTATTATGAAAGAAAGTGGGGATTAAAAAAAAGGAAAGAACAGTAAATGCAAAGCCTCTGGGACCACATTGAAGTGAGTGTGAGAAGCAGAATGGTCAATGGAGAATAGGAAAAGGAGAGTCTGGTAGAGGCTGGTTCACAAAAGATCCTGATTTTATTCTAAGGTCTACTTAAGGGAGTTTAAATTCTGAGGCAGGCATTGCCATCCCAAATAATCTCATTTTACATAACCTGCTGGGCTTCCATCTTTTTTGAAGGCCCATGGCCCAAATGTCCAATGACTAGATAAGTAAATTGTGATATATCCATATAATGGAATATTATTCAGCCATAAAAATGAAGTATTGATATATGCTACTACAGCTACCCACCCCTAGCTGTCTATACCAGTTCATAAGATAGAGCTCTCTGTATCAGGAGCTGACCATGTTATGTGGCTTTTTTTTTTTTTAACTTAAATCACACCTCCTTGAGTCCTAGGGCTGTCTTTGCACATTTTGAAAAAAAAAAAAATGTGTTCTATAGAAGAAAGGCAGAAACTGAATTATCAAAATAGTAAGTTTGGTTAATAATGAAAATATGTATATTTCATGTACTATCCAAATAAAGCCAGGAGTCAAAGGCAAGCTGAGCAACGTCTGATAAATTCGTTTAAGCAGTATGTGCTCTATATGACAATCAAGATTATGTTGGCTGGCCCACAGAGGAAAGGGCCTGATGGGTGGGGTTGTGACAAGCATTGTAATACAGCATCAAACATCTTTGCAGTTGTTTGTTCCACGCTCTGTACTCTGCTGACTTGATGACCATGGGGTCTTGTTGCCTCATCCTCACAGGAAGGCTCTCACAGTCCTTTGTCAGGGGTGAGAACCAGCCCCTTGCAGAGATAACTGACCCCTACCTTTGCTCTTGGGGTCCCTTCACACCCGTCAAAAGGAGGAAGCTGTGTTTCCTGAGAATCTTATCGATGGCGTGCTCTGTTGCCAAGTCCTATGACGCTGGTAGGACCCCTCCCAGTCCTCCCACCCCAGCACAGGAAAGGGCCTGCGCATTATTTACATTGTCTGGGTTTCAGAACAGGACTAGCTTTAGTCAACAGCAAGAGCAGCAGAGGCAGAGTGAGCATGCAGAAAAGAGGACTGCTAAATGTGCGCATCGCACATGAAGAGGAACCTCTCAGAATGATACCTGTGTAGGGGCTGGGACTTTCTTGGCTGGTCTCTAATTCCAACCATCAGAGGAGGTTCTCACTGTAGAGAAGAACTCTGGGCACCCTTTCCTACCTTGTATTCTCTGGCCCACATGCACTCTTGTCATAACTCTCAGAGACAGGAGAAGGGTCAGGCTTTACAGACCAGGGCAAGGCCTGAAAAAATTATAAAGACTACTCAGATGTGTACAGTTTATAAAGTATGTAGCACATGCATTCTCTTACTAAGTCCTCACAATAAGCCTGTGAGTTAGTCATAACAGCAGCTAGCATCTCCTGAATGCCTATTCAGTGTGGATGTCATGTATACACACACACATTTACACATGTATGCATACATAAACACATGTGTGTGTCATATATGTGTGAATATACACATATATATCTATATATACATATGTATGCATATTTATAATGCTCCTGCAAGGTAGATATTATTCCCATTTTACAGAAGAGCAAATTTAAATAACTTATCTGAAGTCACAGATAGTAGTGGGTGCTGATGGAGGACTGATGCCAAGATCTAATATTTTCTACCACCCTTCCTCTGTAGGAGTCAATATCTGGGCAAATGTCTTATGATTACAGAGCTCACACAAAGGGTACCCTGCATCTTTTCCAACTCACCAATTCTTCTTACTACATTCCTGGAAAGACATGGTCTGCTGATTGTTCAAAGTCACTTTTTGGTTTATTTCATAGGTTGGATATAGTTCATTTGCATGTCTTTTCTTTTTCACAGTGCCCCTCCACTCACCGAAAAGGAAGTTGAGGTAAGTGATTCCAGTGCTTTATGAAATTTAGTGCCTGAGCTCGACTGGGTTTATTGAAAACATTCCATTTTCTAGCCTCTGCCCCTGACAATTTTGTACAAAAATGAGAATGTGTGATTGTGGGATAATATGGATATTGCGATCAGCCCTACTGAAATGCTGAGACTCCCACCCCAGGTGATGGAAGATTCTGGCAAATTTGGTCAGAGATGAGAAGGTAGCTGGAAATTCTACATTTCTTCAAGAATGGTTTATGCTCTTTAAAAGTATGACTTAGAAATGCAAAGTTACTGAGAGGCTGCAGAATTGAACCAAATTTATTTCAAAATTAATAACAGATGGTCAGATTTCAAGTTTTAAACTTTGGTCCAGAGGAAGAAGATACTTCCCTTCTGAGGGTTCCAGACATAAGGAAGGTAGCTCAGCCAAGGTGGGAAGCTGTGCTGTCAGCTCATCAGCCTTCCCTGATTCCTCCTTTACTCCCCTTGGGGCCTCATTGTCTCTGTAGAGATGCTATCCCAATGGGGTTGGTGGGTGAGCTGAGAGGAACTTGTCTGCATTTCATTCTGGTGAAGGGGTAGGGTAGATGGACAAAGACAGTGCATCCCAGGTGAGGTGGTAAGGTAGTGATGACCTCTGATGCCAGCACCTAGTTTGTTTCTAAGACAATTAGGTTGGAGTTGATAGAAGGAAGAGGGTAAGAACCTGGATGAGTCCAGAATCTTTTACTCCAGGTTGGGAGGTTAAAAGGTTTTAAAAGTCTTTGTAGCATGGTTTGCCACTGACAATAAGAAGATGAATATTCCCTTCCTGAGACCCAGTGGACTGGACAAGCAGAGGAAGACACACAATGTGAAATGTCTCCCAGAGACAGTAACAATTACCTTGTACACAGATATTGCACTTAGTTCATCACACACTCACATCCATCCTTTCAACGGATCCTCCAATCAGCTCAGTGAAGTTGGTAGAGCAGGAATTAGAACAAAGGAGGAAACCAAGTGATGAACTAATTTACCCAAGGTCCCAGACCCAGTGCTTAGTAGAACCAATGTTTAGACCCAAATATTCTAACTAAATACAGGACTCTCTATATCACACTGCCATGAAGGGGACAACTCAGGTATAGAAAAATAAACATTGAACATTATTGATAAACTTGACTGGACTGAGGCTTGGGTAGGACAGAAAATCCCCACCCACCGACACTGGTGAAGATGGGCTATGGGCGGTTTGTTTAATGGCCACCTTCTATCTGCAGAAGTATACTGACACAATCAGTGTTCAGCATGGTGACAATAGCACAGGCTTTGAAATCAAATAGTGTAAGGTGGAATCCTGGTTCTATTACTTCATGTCACCTTGAACAAGTTAATGACCTCTCTGGTCTCAGTCTCTTTACCCACAAAGTGGCCACAACAGTTCCTACTGCAGATGCTTTTTGTGGGGGTAAATGAGTCAAGGTGCACAGAACTCACAGTAGTGCTAGCATATCGTACATGCTTAATGAGGAGTAGCTTCCAGGGTTGCCATCATTGTTGTTATTGGGTCAGTTCAAGGCCTTTAGTTCTGTCTGAAGATGTCTACCCACTGTGGGCCATATCACAGGAACTCAGAAGATCAGACGGTGTTAGCTCACCCCAAGGGTGTAAATCTGCTACCACTTGACTCAGGGCAAACGAATGGTGTAAAAATGAAAGCCATTGCTTCTTCCTGTGTAGAGTCCATCTGTCTATTTCTCCTCCCTAGTGGTTTCCTATCATGCCAGGAGTTTCATGTTTGCTCAGTCCACTTTGCAAAGTTTCATTCATGCATCGCGTATTTTTTTAACTTTTTTAAAAAGATTTTATTTATTTATTTGACAGACAGAGATCACAAGTAGGCAGAGAGGCAGGCAGAGAGAGAGAGGAGGAAGCAGGCTCCCTGCTGAGCAGAGAGCCCGATGTGGGGCTCCATCCCACAACCTGGGATCATGACCCTAGCTGAAGGCAGAGGCTTTAACCCATTGAGCCACCCAGGCGCCCCGCATCCCGTATTTTTGGCATGGAATATTTGTTCCAGAAAACTTCTAACAGAATCATACCTGGAGGTATTTAATCTCCTGGCAGCTTCTTAAAGCTGCTTTCTGTGCAGGATTTATAATACTCAGACAAGATGCTGGTTGAAATTTGCTTTAAGTCAACAAGTTCCATGCAAAACCTTCAAAACGCATGTGTAATAAATCCTAGCATGAATCGAAACTGCTTCACAATCAGCTATGTTGGGCTGAGTTTACCTAAACCTAAATACAGGATGTTGTTTTCTTGAAATTCAGGAAAAAGCAAAGTGTTATTCTTTTATTGTTTTTCAGTAAAATGCATTTGGTCTTCTGGTTCTGGAAAGGACCTAGCATGGACCTCAGGTTACTATTTCATCATCTTTTGTGCAGTTTACTGTGAAAGGAGAATTTCACTTGTATGCAGCTGTTTCGGTGACTGGCTCCAGGAGCTGATGTAAAACGCTCATGCAAGAAACACACCTGTGACCTTGTTCCCTATAATAACTCCTCCTAGCATCTCTCCTACATTCTTGTTCCCAACAGAATGTGTTTGTACAACTCTCCTTGGCCTTTAGAAATGACAGCTACACTCTGGAATCTAGAATTAACCAGGCTGAAAGGGAACGCAACCTAACAGAGGAGAACACAGAGAAGGAACTGGAAAACTTCAAAGCTTCCATTACGGTAATTGTGGATCCTGATGGGGGAATCCTTGACTGTCTCCCAGGGCTATGCCAGGTGTCCTGATTTTCTCAGTCAACAAGTGGAGTATCCTGACATGAGAAATCAGGCCAAGGCTCTGAGACAGAGAGAGTCTTCCTCAGAGAGCTTGGAGGAACTAAGGCACAGACCTGAAGGCCTGGTTACCTTGGGGGCTGTGAATAAGGCCTCTGATTCCTTGGAAGCTTCTCAAGAGTAAGCTGGGTGACCTGGGATGGCAAAAGGAGCTCCTTAGGAACTAGAGACCTGGATGTGATTCCCTTCTTTCATGTCATTCAGGTATAGAGTATCCACACTGGGCTTTTCAATCCCCAGAAGGTATAGCCCAGACCCTGTATAGGCTACTCTTTTCAGCCAGGATGAGGACCAGGGCTTGTCTTGTGACAGCTCAAGTCAAGTCTTGGTATGGACCCCAGCTGATGTTCCTTCTCACTTCCCAGTCCTCAGCTTCACTATGGCACCACTGTGAGCACCGAGAGACCTACCAGAAGCTGCTGGAGGATATTGCTGTCTTGCACCGCTTGGCTGCACGCCTCTCCAGCCGAGCTGAGATGGTGGGGGCTGTCCGCCAGGTGAGCCTCTTCAGCTCCCAGCCATCTGACTAGCTCAGCTCTGCCCACAGTAACTAGAGCATGAATGTAAGCAATGACAACTACAGATCCCACTTACTGACAGCTTCCTCTGTGCCAGACATCCTGTGTACATTATTGTGTTTTATTAAGGTATTTCTGGTGGACCTCTAAACCCTTGAGGTGTTCCTTGAGAAAAGCTTTCTGTGAACATGTAAGTTTGTGAACTGCTGTGTACTACCTTCTTTTCTTGGAGATTTCTGACACATATTGGCACCATCAAGGCTTTGAGAACACCTATAGTGAAGAAGCCTATTTAAAACTACCTGTATGTTTCCTAAATGTATCTGACTGAAGAACCACAAAATACCTATTCAACTCCCATGGAACTAGTATTTGGAAAATATGCTTTTAGGAAAAACTGCTTTGTTTCATTTAGTCCTCCCAACAACTCTATAAATATCTTTTCCCCATAAAGACACAAAGCTTCAGAAAGGTAATAGCACTAGTGTGTGGCACAGCTGGGATGCAGACCCAGGTTTGGCTCCCTCTTAGCCATTTTGATGTCCTAAAACACACAGGGCACCACCCTGATCCAGAATGGTGTCATGAGATCAGACTGCCTAAGCCCAATCTTGGCTCCATCAGGATTCACTGTGTGACCTCAGGCCATTTATTGAGCTCTCTGTGTTCCAACTTCTCCAGCCAATGCGGATGATGATAGCGTCTGTCAAATTGGCTTACCATAATATTTGCAAAGCGCCTAGATGTTATTATCACTGCTGCTAGGACGGTACTCACCTGTTATACTGCACTGGTTACATCAGCAGGGTGTTCCTGGGTCAGAGCCTAGAGCAGTTCTTGTAGAATGAAGGAAGAACAAGCCACTGGGCGGTCCCACCCCTGTGTTCTTCTGGGGAAAGGGCACCTGACTCAGCAGCACACCCAGGAAGTCACTCTGGCCGGGAGAAGCAACAAAGGGAGAGCTCAAGGGAAGTGGCTACCTCCAGGAAGCTTCCTTGACCCATTCTTTCAGCATAGAGGACTTTTCTGCCTCTCATCTCCTGAGGCATTGTGGCTGTGCTTATTCTTGTCTTCCGTGAGTGCAAGTGCCTGAATGCCCCTCTCAGCTCACATCACAGACAGCAAACCCTTAGAGGGCAGAGCTGCATCTTTTAATTGTGTCCTTTTAATTCTTCCAGCCCACAGGTTAGCTCAGAGCAAACAAGTGCCAACAAGCCTTTCCTCCAATTGCCCTGTGTGCTCATGCTCTCCTTTCCTGCAGGAAAAGCGCATGTCAAAGGCAACAGAGGTAATGATGCAGTATGTGGAGAATCTGAAGAGAACGTATGAGAAAGACCATGCAGAGCTCATGGAGTTTAAAAAACTTGCAAATCAGAACCCAAGCCGCAGCTGTGGCTCCTCTGGTAAGGAACTGGGCTCCCGCCCCCATCTTGGCCCCACAGTGTGGGTCCCTGATGGCTCTAGGCCAGGATCACATCCATCAATGCAACCTGAGGAGTTCTAGTTGAGCAAGGCTCATTGTCCTTGTCCAGTGCTGCCCATAGGGGCCTCACAGCAGCTGTTCAGGTGAGACTAGGGACCAAGAACCAGGAAACAAGAATAGTCCCAAAGCAACTCCTGACACAATAAACCACAACAGCTGACCATTGATATGAAGCCATAGGCTACAAGAGCTCTCTCTACTTTATGAGAAGGACAGGCACCAGACCTTAGAGTCTTTGTGCTTTGGGATACATACTAAGGAATTTAGGCCTTATCCTAGAAAGTATTAGGGATCCAACCAAAGATTTAAGTTCACATATGGAGTTTAGAATGTTCCCTCATTACAGTGTGGCAGTTACATTAGTGGGATAGAGCCAGAGACAGGGAAACCCACAAAGCTGCTATTACAATAGTCCAGGTGAGAGATGAACCTGGGCAGTGGGGATGGCATGAGATCCTGGCTAAAAGAGATATTCCTGAAATAAATAGCAGACTCTTGGGCAAGACAAATGTTTTAAAGAAATACTCTTTAAAAAAGTGTTCTATACAATTGCTATAGGAGCACAGAGGTGATTCTGCCTGAAGGAGTCAAGGAAGGTTTTACAGAGGGATAGCATCTGGGCAGTTTTTCAAAGTAAAAAAAGGCATTCTCCAGGCAAGGGGGGAAATAGACCCTAAGCAGAGGAAACAGTGTGTACAAGGAAGTAGGGTTGGAATGGAAAGGGTATGGAACAAAGAATTTGATGTGGTTACAGTGTTGGGAGTGTGAAGATGACAGTTTGAAGGTAAGCCTTGGTAAGCCAGGGCCACATGCCAGGTCATTCTAATAATTTGGGCCTTTGTCCTCGAGGTTATGAGGAAGCACTGGTGAGTTTATACCATCTAACATGGTCAGATTCTATTTTCAGAAGATTTGTCTGACTTCAGAGAGACAATACATTGGGAGAGCGTAGACACTGAGGTCTGGAGAGACAGGTCAGGAGGCACTTGCTGCAGTCCAGCATGAGGAGGATGGTGCCTTGGACTAGGATCTCTCCTTGAGAGCCAGGGTCTAGGCTCTGGCTGATGAGGATGGTGTTAGCAGGAGAAAACAGACCTTTTAGTGACAGGAATCCCTGTGGAATGCAAACATCCGTGTTACCAAGAGCAGGAGGAGGGAAAGTATAACAGATGGAGGAACCTTTATAAACAGGAGGTTTCACAAGTTTCCTGGGGAATATCAGTGACAGTTTCCAGAGTCCAAAGGCAGTGTACATATGCTCCCAACTGTCTGCTTTTGATCTTGGCAGCAAGACTCCTGACCCACATGCATCTGGGCCTACAGCAAACTAGATTCTGTCAGTGCTGGGAGTTGGGGAAGTTGCCACCAAAGAAATCCTAATATGTGGGCTCTTGCTTTATTGTTCTGGAAGGTACAAGGTCTGCTGTGAACTGCCCTATCCAAGATTTATGAAAGGAACAGTTACCCATGAGTTTCATTCATTCATTCTAAAGACATTTATTGAACTCCTTTGCTGTCCCCCACATGATACTAAATATAGAAGTAAAGGGCACATGGTCACTGAGATCCAAAGGAACTCCCAGCCGGTGCAGAAGGCAGAGGAGTATAACCAGCCCAGTGACAAAAGTAAGCAGATTTTTATAGGGAGCATACCACAGAGTCCCACATTCAGTCTGGGGACATGAGAAAGTGCTTACAATACATAGGGAGATGGTAGCTGAGTCTTAAATGGTGACTAAATGTTTTTCAGACATTTGTTCCCATACCACTCTTTCTCAGCCTGGTCTGGTGGAAAGGGGCCAGCACCAACCTAACAGGTGTGTCCATTGGATATCCTGTGACCATTCCCAAACAATGTTAGTTTTTAAACCTTTACATGACGTCTAGTAACCTTTGTCTATGCCTGAGACTCTGAAGACTACAGTGAAATAAAAATACCTCTGATTTAAAGAAAGGTTATACACATTTAAAAATATCCATTTTTTTCCCTGAATATGAAACACTGATTGTTTACACTTTGAATTATTTCCTTAAGATGGATTTCTAGACGTGTAAATACTGGCCTAGGGGAAAGAAATTTTTATAAGGCTCTTAAAGCAAACATTTTCAAATAACTCATTGATACTTCCATTTAATGGGTAACAGTAGCACTCAGTTCATTGTGCCATTGAGATTCTTGTCCTTTCCTTTAAAAATATTTTTTACTTTGATGGGCCAAGATTCTATCTCATCATTTTAATTTGTATTTTTTTTACCTTTTCAATTATTTCCTGGACATTTGTAGTTCCACTTTTATAAATTCTCTAGTTATATCTTTTGCCCACTTATAAAATTGGCATTTTATTCATTTGTATGAATGCTACAATATATAAACAACATTTTCTGGTTCTGCTATTTTGGCTGACTGGAAAACTTGAAACTCCTTGACCACAAGTACTTAGACATTTCTGCTGGATAAAATAAAGCAAACTTTAGTCTAAAAGAATAGCTGAATCTACAGGAAAAGAAATTGAAATACTCAGATACAAGAAAAGAAAAGAGAACTGAAACCTGCAGCTTCCTTGGGGACACGAGTCAGCTTCAGTTATCTGGGCGCTGAGCTTCTGCACTTGCATGCAGTCTGAGATATCTCGGACACCTATGACAGAGAGTTGACTTGAGACTCCCACAGAAAGTTAAGATTTTCCAAGGACTGCATCTTTAGACAGAACTTAAACAAGAAAAAAACAGTTGCCAAACAGCAGAGACACAAATCAAGGAAGTCCGTTTCACCCTGTCGTAGGAAAAATACTTTCTGCTTTCTCGTAGGAAAAATGTGTGCCATGACAGAAGTTGTGGTGCAATATGCAGAGACTCTATAAAGAACATCACAATGATGTCTGTAGGAACACTGTCAGAAACAAACATAAAGTCACTCTGAGGAGGCACACCCCTCACCTGGGGCCCACAAGATTCCTCTAACTGAAACCACACTAAAGGTGATTTTACAGTATAGAATTAAAAAATACACAAGAAAACAATCCACCTTGAACAAGAATCATCAGACACACTAAACAATAGGGTTATATCCTAAGGACTGCAGAAAATAAAACAATCTGATCATTTTTTAAAGGTATGTTTAAAAATTATTAAAGACATCAAACAATGAGTCAAAACATGAGAATAAAATACAGTTATCGAAAAAGAATAAAATAGAACTAGAAATGAGGAACAAAATCATGGAAAATAAAACTCAGTAGTTTAGGTGTGGTAGGTACTATAGTGGTGGTAATTACTCTAGTGGAGATTCCAAATTTCTCCTTTCAGGCACAGTTCTCTATTCCCTTGAAGTTAGGTGATGCCATGTGATTTGGCAAATAAAATGTGAGCAGAAGGACATGTGTCACCTTTGAGTTGAGGCCTTTAAAAAACTAGTGTGCAGTGACACCTGGGTGGTTCAGTTGGTTAAGACTCTGCTTCAGCTCAGGTCATGATCCCAGGGTCCTGGGATCAACCCCATCTTTGGGCTCCCTGCTCAGCAGTGAGTCTGCTTCTCCCTCTCCCTCTGCTGCCCCCCTGCTTGTGCCCTCTCTCTTTCTCTCTCTCTCAAATAAATAAAATCTCAGGAAGGAAGGAAGGAAGGAAGGAAGGAAGGAAGGAAGGAAGGAAGGAACTAGTATGTGAATTACCGCATGTTTCTTCCTCTTCAGATGACAATCATCACTGCTCCAGAATGGACATGTAACATAAGGAAGAACTAAATCTTTATTGTTATAAGTGACTAAAACTTTGGGGTTGTTTTTTATGGGGTTGTTTATTAATAAGCATAACCTAGCTTATTGGTATAACATTTAAATCGGATTGGGCACAATTGAGGGGAAAATTTATTTAATTGAAGATAGATTTTCAGAAGTTGCCTAAAATGCAGTTCAGAGGGATAAACTGATTAAAAATATGAAAGAAAATATTGTATTATAAGATATGGGATACAGAATATAAAATGAGAAAGTTCCAAATGCATCTATTAGCAGATCTACAAGAGGAGGGAGAGAGAAAATACTCAAAAAGATTTTCCAAAATCTGAGAATTTCCCAAAACTAAAGACAGACATGAATCATTGGATTCAGAAAGAACAGTGAATTCCAAGAAGAAATAAAAACACATCGAAGCAAAGTGAAAACTTTAAAAGTAACCAGAGAGAGAGGAGAGAGGATTTACAAAGGACTGATAATTCTCAACAGTAATAGTAGTACCAAAAGACAATGAAGTGGGGTAGGGGAATGGGATAACTGGATGATGGACATTAAGGGGGACACATGATGTAATAAGCACCAGGTATTATAATAAGACTGATAAACCACTGAACTCTGCTTACTTCTGAAACTAACAATACACTATATGTTAATTAACTGAATTAAAAAAAGAATGAAGTTAAAGTCTTCAAGCAGCTGTGAAAAAAATAACTGTCAACCTAGAGAAAATATAACCAGCTAAACTATGACACAAGCTTGAAATCTAGGTAAAGATATTTTGAGAACAACTGAGAAAATTTACCTCTCAAAAATCCTTACCAAAAGAACAAGTAAGGATGGACTTAGGGGGGTAAAAATTAAGATTAAAAAAAAAAAAGAGTAGGATGCAAGAAGGAATGATCAGACATTTGTAAATGTGGGTAAATCTAAACAAGCACTTACTATATAAAACAACAGTCATAATAACATGGGATTACCAAAACAAAGTGAAACAAAAATACTGAAAAGCAATATAATTTGAGATTCAAGGGAGTTATTGATTAATTTAAAATTTAAAGTCACATAACATAGTACAAATTTAAGTGGACACATTAAAGATTAGAACTAAATAATAACAATGAAATACTACTCAGCCATCAGAAAGGACAAATACCCACCATTTGTACTGACATGGATGGAACTGGAGGGGATTATGTTAAGTGAAATAAGTTAAGCAGAGAAAGACAATTATCATATGGTTTCACTCATATGTGGAACATAAGCAAGAGCATGGAGAACCATAGGGGAAGGGAAGGAAATCCAAAGGGGGGGAAATCAGAGAAGGAGATGAACCATGAGAGACTATGAACCCTGAGAAACAATCTGGGGGTTTCAGAGGGGAGGCGGATGGGGGAAGGGGGTAACAGGGTGTTGGGTATTAAGGAGGGCACATGCTGTGATGAGCACTGAGTGTTATACTTAATTAATGAATCACTGAACACTGCATCAAAAACTAATTATACACTATACAGTGGCTAGCTGAACATAATAAAAAATAAATAAAATTAAATAAATTTTAAAAAGTAAATAAAATATTGGTGATTACTGTATGGTTTTAAGCAAAGCAAATACAAAATTTGTAGTTTAGTGTAAAAAATTGAAGATTAGAACTAAAATGTGCAACTTCTAAACCAATGTGCAGGGTGTGAAGGAAAAAAAATCAATGAAGTGAAGTAAATAAAAAGGGAAAAATTAGCTATGTGTATCTTTCTTCCTTTCTTTTTAAAGATTTTATTTATTTATTTGATAGAAGACACAGCAAGAGAGGGAACACAAGCAGGAGGAGTATGAGAGGGAGAAGCAGGCCTCCCGTTGGACAGAGAGCCCGATGCGAGGCTCTATCCCAGGACCCTGGGATCATGACGTGAGCCGAAGGCAGATGCTTAACAACTGAGCCACCCAGACACCCCTAGCTATGGGTTTCTTAAGAGACACATCTAATATACATGGATAAGAAGGATAAATAGATATATAAGCCAAATGATATTCGTCAAACTGAAAGTGAGCTTTTAAAAACCTTTCTTTGTACATATTGGTGTTTTCTGGTGGCAGTATTCTCCAGGTGTGGTGCAAAATTTCTTTATTAATATATAATGTATTCTTTGTTGCAAAACATTTTATATAAATTGTATCACTTAATGTATGCATAAAGGAGATTAAAATCCCAGGGTGCTGGTTTCCTTTGTTCCAAATTGTCTTATAGATGACTTATTGAAACCACTCTGTCAACAAGTTTCCATTCTCTACTTATACTGTACCTTCCCTGCTCATAATTTCCTTGACTGTACATCTCTTAAATGAGCAAGAAATGACCCAATAAGCCTTGGTATTGCTACAAGTAGTTTTTTGCACACTCTCCAGGGTATTACCAGAGACTGTGCAGTGGTGTCAGGTGGATATGAGGTCCAAGATGGGCTTCTCATAGTGCATAGAAGATTTAAGATAAAAGTTCTGTACAGAAAGCCCACTTTGCAGATAATTGTCTCAGGGGATAGTGGGAAATTTAGTGTTCCCAACACCTAGGCTCTTGGACTAACACTTGAGGGCCAGTTCTGATGAATTACTATCTCAGCTTAGTTTTGGGATATCTGTTTTCTGTTGGAGCCTACTCTGAAAACTTAACCTGAGTTCTCTTCTCTGTTCCTTCTTGCTGCAGAAGACGGGGTGCCTCGAACAGCACGATCCATGTCCCTCACACTGGGAAAGGTATGCATATTCAAGGAATACCATGGCTCCCCTGGGATTCCAACAGAAGTTTCCATGGTCACCAGAAAGTCATTCATCCTTGAATCCACAGGTGTCAAGAGAACTTGTAGACAGATTCTCTAATTTAGCTTACCACACTTGCTAGTTCGTCCTTCAGCCTTCCCTCATTCATGGTTTCCCTGATCATACCATCCCCAAAATGAACATGGAATGATGCATAAATCTTGGTGTAGTCCTATTCTTTTCATATACTTTCTAGGGTGTTACCCAGAGACTGGGGGTCATTTCTGTTCCATTTCTTTCAGATATAAGCTAAAATAAGAACATTTTGAGAAATCACTCACTACTAACAGAAAACTTGGGTCAACTCTGGCCAATTTTTTCACAAAAACCCTCAACACCATCACTAACCCAAAACCAAAATATCCAGTGAATGTAATTATAGCATCAGAAACTAGTAGGCATTTTCCAGACCTTTCTGAACTGTGGCTGCTGCTCCCTCCCTGACAGTGAGCCTGGTCACTTCTCTTCCCACAGAACATGCCCCGCCGGAGGGTCAGTGTTGCAGTGGTTCCCAAGTTCAATGCCCTGAACATTGCCAGCCAAACTCCCAGCTCATCACCCATCCACTCTTTACCAGCCATGGTGAGTATGATGATGCCTACCTCCCAGCCCTTATCAACCTCTCCCTCAGGCTCACTACTATGGGGTGACCCAGGTGGGGGCAGGGTCAACAAGGAGATGAAAATCCCAGCACAGATTTTGGAATATGGGCTCAAAAAAGCTCAATATAGACGAGGCCCCATGTCTTCCATTGCCCTGAGAAGACTCAATATCCTTGAGAAAGGTGCTGACATCTCAAAGACTGTTCTTTGAAAATGTTATCTCCTTCCACGCGTAAACCAAAATCCTCCAAGGTGGGTTTAGTGGTTTTTTTTCCCACTCTGAAATGGATTTAAATATCTGAAGGTTGCATTGTATATAATAAGTGATAGGGCTGAGCTTTTAACCTTAGGGTTTCTGATCCCAGGGCCTAAGTTCTTAAACCCACTGTTACCCTGCATCAATTCATTGCAGCATTTAGAAATGAAACTACTAGACTGCCCATTAATAAGAGCTTGGTTAAATATAGACAGCCCTAAAAAGGGCTTTCTGTGCATTGTTAAAAATAACATGAAAAATGTCCATAATTTATTATTAATAAAAAGGAATTAAAAACAGCATATACAGTAGAATTGTTTTGTAGGGTTTTCTTAAAGAGTATTTTTTTCTATGTGTAGACATAGAAAATTCTGGAAGAATATATGTAAAACTATTAATAGTTATCTCTGGGCAATGGTAAAGCCACGGGTGATTTTTATTTTCTTCCTGATGCCTTTTTATATTTCTATAATAAGAATCTATTGCCAATAATAAAAAAAAATTCATTTCAATTATTTTAAACATACACAGTTCCTATATAGCAGAATATTTTCTACATCTCAGGCTTTTGTGGATCTGGTTAATATTATTTAAAACTTTTCTAATTCTTTCTTCAGTTACTTCTCTATTCTGTGTCCATGAGCAGCACTACTCTATAAGCCAATCTGATTGTGTAAACAATAGGTAAAGTAGATTCAAGCTCTATTGTTCCAGTAGGTAGCAATAGCTTCTTTCACCTCTTTTTCAATCATCTATGAAATTATCCTAAATTCCCAAATCACTCACTAAAACAAACCAGCTTAAAAAAAATTTTTTTAAAGGAGCTTAGGAAGGGCTAGCTAGTATGTTTGATAGACCTATCTCCAATATTATGCTACATATAAGAATATTATTTTCAAATATGCAGTTGCCCTTGAACAATGCAAGGGTTGGGGGCACCCACCCCCAGGCAGTTGAAAATCTGCATATAACTTTTGACTCCCCCAAAACTTCTGATGATCGGAAAATGTACCAATAACATGTCAATTAATACATATTTTGCATGTTATATGTATTATATACTGTATTCTTATGATAAAGCAAGCTAGAGAAAAGAAAATGTTAAGAAAATCATAAGGAAGAGAAAATATATTTATAATATTGTACTATATTTAAAATCCATATATAAGTAGACCTACATAGTTCAAACCTGTGTTGCTCAAGGGTCAACTGTATATTCTTTTAGACTAAAAGTTGGCAACCAGGAATATACATTAAAATCACACAAGATACTTCTAAAACATTGCTCAGGCTTCACCTCAAGATTCTGAATTGGATCAGTACTTAAAATCCCCCACCACAGTGATTCTAAGGTACAGCCAGAATTGAGATCCATTTTTTAAACCAAATCTGTTGTAAAAAAAGTACCTCATTGTTTATTTTTTATATTTACATATTATATTTATAAATATAATATTATATGTTATATTTATATAATTTATTATAAAGACATTTCTTATGGCTTAGGGTTTTAGTAATGACAGGCTTCTCCTGAGGATTATGCTTGGAGCTACAGCTCGAAGGCACTGATGGGCCTATGTTTGCTAGGAGGCCTGGGGCATTTACTCCAAGTCAGTAAACCTGGGACTGAGGAAAAACTGAGGCTCTGCTTGAGAATAGGGCATCAAAATATAAATTCTTCACTCAAGAAAACTTAAGAGGGGAAGGAAAAGGTGCAGGTTGTATGGGCCTCAAGGGGCACTAAGGAATGGAGGACAGGGAAGGCCCCACGCCTGGGTTCAGAAGCAGGTCAGAAACCATGGTGGTGGGGGAAGAGCTGAGATAGCAGAGCCCCCCCCGCCCCCCGTATCATCAGAGACATAGCAGCTCTGGCTTCTTCCTTCCTAGCTAATCTTCAATTGTCTGTCTCCTGTTTTTCATCTAGTCAGAATCACCCAATGGGAAAGGCAACCTACCGGTCACCTCAGCACTGCCTGTACTTTTGGAAAAGTAAGTTGGTTTATCTTCCTCTTAACTTTGGGGATCTCTGAGAAAATTTTTCCTAGGTCACTTTTCCTCCCATCCTCACTCCCAAAATGTGATGGAAAGCAAATTAAGTTCTAAGGTAAGGAAATAAGAGGGACTCTGAGACCCACAAAGATTTCAGAGTCAGTTTGCTGTCTGGACCAGGAAGATGCTGTGGCTAAGTCCAAGTATACCTCAATCTCAGAAGAGCCCAGAGGAGACAGACACCTTCTCTGTTGGTTAGGATTCTTTGGGCTACAGATACAAGAAAGCCCCAACTCGAAGGGTCTTAAATAGTAAGTCCAGAGGTAGGGCTTTCCCAGGTATAGTATATCAAGGCCCCAGCTTGGCCTCCACGATTTCCTTGCTTGCTTCTGCTCACTTTGTGTGTTGACTTTATCAGCAGCTTGTGGAAAATGGCTACTATTTTCAAGTATTCTATCCAGACATGAAGTATTTAGAAGAGGACTATCTCTTCCCATGCTTCTTTTTTTATGAACAAACCCAGAAACTTTTGTTTTTTTACTTCCTTATCTTGTTAGTAAATTTGGAACATAATTCTTTTCTAAATCAAACACAGACTTTGGAAATGGGATTGTCATCATGGGCTTAAACTGTGCCCTGGAGATGGGGACAGGCAGTCAGCTTCCCATGAAGCAAAGTGATACACTGAAGAAGAGAAAATTCCTGAGCAAAATTACAATCCTGTAAAGAAACAGGCAGGAGATTAAATACTGGAGTGGCAATAAATAGTGTCTGCCATGCCTAATTTTTCTAGGCATCTGTGCAATTTGTAGGTCTTTTCATCCTCAGCCAGAGCAAGGCAGGCTGTTTTTATACTCAGAAGAGTTTATAACTTGCTTTTCAAATTCTTTCATTTGCTTGCTGGGAAACATCTGGATCACAGCTGTCACCTCTCAGAACTTTCACCTTGTGTCTTTTCTCACTTGGTAAAACATACACCTTTATTCTTCCTTCTTCTTTGCCTTAAGACAGCTTTAGCCCTCCATTTTTCATTGTTGTTAGAATAGTTTTGCTTGACCTGACCAGGAAACTCTATGTGGGTCCCTTTTCAGTAGAGACAATCTCCCAAGCTCTCCATCCCCACCACCCTGCCCCCCCCCCCCGATTCAGCCTGTTTAACTCACCTGTTAGTATATCCAACCACCCACCTATCGCTCACTGACTCACCCACTTTAGTCTTGAAGTTTGTCCAGAACTCCTTACTTTGACATCTCACTCTGTGTAAGCTTAAAGGTCCTTCATGTTGTGTAAGGCATTTTTGTTTCTATCTTTGTTTCCTTATTTTTTTCAAGCATTACAAAGAAATTGTAAAGGGTACAAACTAAAAACCATGTGGAAGTAACCAAGATTACAAAGACATATAAATCAAGTCCTTAGAGCCATAATGTCTACTCCATGATCTCTGAATCTCTCCAGTGATGATTGCTTGATGCCCTGAGTGAAAATCATGCTAAAATTCTCCCTTCTAATTCTGCCTTTGGATGCTCAAACCCCTTCTTCAAAAAGGCCCCCAACAAGGCCCCTTCCTCTATTCTTGGCCTACAGAACAAATCAAGGACAAAGATCTATGTCCTCACTCTTTGAAAAAGACTAATCATGGTGGAGCCAGGCCTGGACTCTATAGAACTATTGCTCATGCCAGCTGAGAGCTTTCCTCCGAGGCAGTGGAGATTATCAAGAACCCGAGTTATCCCTGGTAGGAGAGAGTGAGCTACAAAATTAAGGACAGCAAGCATTGGCCCCAAATCAGAAGTGACAATGAATGAGGATCAATAATGGCGTCACCATTCCAAGAGTTTAGAACCAGGAGAGACAGGGACAGAGCAAGGATTGAGACAAGTCAAGGAATAAGCTCAAGGAAGGTATCTGTAGCTCATTTTTTTCTACCTGGAGGGACCACCATGATATATTACCCATGCTGTGGCTGACTTGCCTATTGGGAATGCACCCAGCCTATAAAAATGGCTGCAAAAAGGGGAGGACATATTCAAAAGAGGAGGATTCTAACACTAACAGTAGCTTCCCCCTCCTGGATTTATGAAAGGCGCTAAGTGACTTTCATCTGAATTCATGAAACTGGAAATATTAATAGATTGCCAAGAGGGCAACAATGAGACAATCTGTGAATTAAAATAAATTCATATCTTGTTTTAATGCAAGTACAATAAATTCTAGCTACCTTCTCCATACTATTAAGGAGAAAAAAATGCATTATAAGTTAGTATACATTGCTTTCTAGATTGTTATATTTAGCTAGATTTAAAGTGATTTCACATTTCCCTAAACATATGATGACTAGGCAGGAAGGGAACTGGCTAAGCATGTGAAAGATTATCAGAAGATCAAATTACCTATGGCTAGTTCTCAAGCAAATACCTGAGAGCTGATTGCCCAATGTGATTTAAGAGAATTCTGAGTGTTGCTGTTGTAGGTCACTTCAGAGTAAATTGTTCTTCACTCAAGGAATATTTAGATCTAGGTCTAGGGATATTTAGAATTATAGAAAAATATGCAGAGTAATATTTGAAGTTTATCTTAAGGATTAAAAAAGAATAAAGCTCATGATGAGTTCCATAAGTAGGAAAAACTATTTATAGACTTATTCATTCGTTCCTTCAACAATTAATCACCAAGGTATCTAGAATCACCAAGGTATCTAGAATATACTCAGGAGTTCACAGTGTAATGGAAAAGAGAGATGGGAAACAGCCCATTATAATACAATGTGATGGATGATAGCATAACGAAGTATAGGTTGCTAAAGCAATAGGAGAGAAGAAAATGAGTACCTTAACCCAGACTGGGTGTATGTGAGGGAGGGAAGTCTCAGAAAATGTTTCCTCTAGGAATTTACTTTTAAAGTGAAACCTGAGAGACACCTGGGTGGCTCAGTCAGTTAAGCATCTGATTTTGGCTTAGGTCATGATCCCAGGGTTCTGGGATCGAGTCTTGCATTTGGTTCCTTGCTCAGTGAGGAGCCTGCTTCTCCCTCTGCCTGTTCCTCCCCCTGCTTGTGCTCTCTTTCTTTCTCTCTCTCTCTCTGACAAATAAATAAATAAAATATTTAAAAATAAATAAATAAAAATAAAATGAAACCTGAAAGTTATATAGTTTAACCAGGTGAACTGGAGGTTAACAACATTCCAGGCTCTGAAGCAAGAAAGTATGGAGTGGTCAAGAAATAATAATAAGATGATAGTGATACTTACTATTATTATTTACAGTATGTTTGCTTCATACCAAGTCCTGTTCTAATTGCTTTACATTAACAATCTCATTTAATCCTTACAACATACCCATGAGGTAGGTATTAATATCAATATTAACTATTAACATCGCTATTTTATAGATGTAGAAACTGCAACTCAGAGAAATGACTTGCCTGAGGTTACACAGTAGTGGGTAACAGAACTTATGCTCTTAACCTCTTAATAGACACTCCAACTAGAAGAAAGGAAAGTGCAGTATGACTGAAAACAAGAGGATGCATTTAAGCACTATTTTTATATGAAGTTTTATGAACTATTTTGAATGACCTGTTGACCTTCATGGCTCGCCATGAAGCAGAGTGTGGGATGGAAGCAGCGTGTGTACACAGAGCAGTGCACTGAGGAATTAGCAAAGCCATGGATGTGAATGATGCACAGTATTGGTTTCATAAAAGGGGCAATTTAATGATATATCACTGAGAAATTTTCACTATAATCTCTAAAATAACCATTTTCCTACTTTTTAAAATTTTTTTTATAAACATATAATGTATTTTTATCCCTAGGGGTACAGGTCTGTGAATCGCCTGGTTTACACACTTCACAGCACTCACCATAGCACATACCCTCCCCAATGTACATAACCCCACCCCCCCTCTCCTAACACCCTCCCCCCCAGCAACCCTCAGTTTGTTTTGTGAGATTAAGAGTCACTTATGGTTTGTCCCCCTCCGAATCCCATCTTGTTTCATTAATTCTTTTCCTACCCTCCAAACCCCCCATGTTGCATCTCCACTTCCTCATATCAGGGAGATCATATTTCTCCGATTGACTTATTTTGCTAAGCATAATACCCTCTAGTTCCATCCACGATTTTCCTACATTTTTGAAGCAGCCAGGGTAAACTACTTAAAGGCTTTGTATGACTTCAAATATTTATAGCAAATAACTCCTCTTTGCTGATATTCTAGAATTAATTAGCCCTCCATCAACTAGTAGTGTATCCCAGGCATCTGAGACTGAGTAACACGAGTAAGGAAGGTCTTCTAGCTCAGTTCCCCTGGACTGGACTTCTCTGAGGGGTTCAAGGCAATGGGAGTGATTTAGAGACATCACTGAACCCAAAAAGGTAAGATCTGTCCACTAGAAAGAATTGCAGTCACTTTCAAATATTGTTTACCACATGGAAAAATAGACTCTAACATAACTCCCAATTAAACAATACATTTTGACTGAAGGACCCCTCACATTAGTTAGAACTAATCACAATGACAAACAATTTTGACCTGGTGGACATGAGAAAACAATGAACTTCATTTTCATGAATCATCCCAGAAAGAAAGCATGCAAGATTTCAGGCTGGGAATAGATGCCAAGATCCATCTGTGTTTGGCCCAGAAGTTTCTAGGGTGGGCACAGGCTGTGCTCAGCTCCATGTTTATATCCATGAATAGAGATTCCTGCAGCTCAACCCAAACACTGGGTCCTCAGGAAATAGCCATTTACAGAAAGGACCTGCCCACTTCACAAAATTAATAAGCAGACTGGATAAGCCATAGTGAAGTCAGTGTAACTCAGCAAACACTTAAAGCACTTACTGTATGCTAAGCATCATCATAACTTAAGCAGTCTCTCTCTATGATCGCAGTCATGGAAGGACGGATAGGTATATAAAACATAAAAATGCCCTCTCTCTGAGTTATGCTGAAATGAGGAGTGCAATGAGGACATGATGGGAAGGAGTGATCAACTTTAACCAGAAGATGAGGGAATGGGAAGAACACTAGCAAATATTCCACAGAGGAGAAGGTATTTGAGCTGAGTCTTAAAGATACACAACAAGAAGCTTCCAGGTAGTTAGAGATGATATATAAGGAACTATTAGCTCAGTCTAGGGATCAGGAGATAACAGCAAATATTTTACAGATTGTGTTTCCCCTACTTCCCCACCCTACTTCTAGTATTAAACCAAAGGCTGTCCCAGCCTACCGTACATTCTAAACAAGTACCCTTTAAAAGAAGGCAGCATCATAAGCCATGGCCCAGCCTAGCAGCCAGAATGGCTTCACTCAGCAAATACCCTGGAGCCCCATACCACTCAGAGCCCCAGAAAAAGACTTCTATTGAAAGAGAGGGCTCAAGGAAATGTGAAAAATGCATCTTGACATGAATTTAGAAGACCAAGGTGAGAATCCCAGCCAGGCCCACTACGCATCAATAATGTGAACTTAGACAAGTCACCTAATCAATCTGAGCTTGGGTTTCTCGTCTCACAGATGGGGTAACACCTTGCCTGGGTGGCAATTAGTGCAGTCAAGAGCATGGGCAAGTGTCAGACCGCACAGGGTCAAATCCAAACTCTATCACACATAGATTGTGTAATCTTGGGCTGGTTATTTAACCTCTCTGGGTCTTGGTTTCCTCACCTGTTAACTTGACCACAATAGTATTGCCTATCTCATGGGTCATTCATGAGTGTTAAGTGAAATCTTACCACAGAGTCTGATACATAAGATAAATATTAGCTCTTCTTATCATTGGGAGGATCAAGTGAGGCAATGTATGTAAAAGCACTTTAAGAACTGAAGCCCCATTGGTGAGTCGGTTGGACAAGGTGATCAGCACAACCTGGGACAGTTGGACCCTGGACAGAAGATCCTTATGTTAAAGGGCCACTGAAATAGCTCTACAAGGGAAATGTTTTAGTCTCTAGAGAGCGGTGACCTTGAGGATAGTGAAAGTTTGGATTCTTCTGATTCTGAAGTGTCAGAATAATATAAATCAAGTTCTCCTTTAAAGATATAAATAATCACCTGGTAATTTATTAGCTTGGATTTTTTTTTATGGATCAGGTTTGAAAGAACTTCAGATTGTTCCCCAACATAACTAATAGTGATAAACATCATTTGTTGTGTATTATCTTCCAAAACATTTACTTATATTTTTCATTAATTCCTACACTACCATCATCAGGTACATATTATTACCCTCATTTTACAGTTGAGGAATCTAAAGTTCAGGAAGGGTTAAGAATTTGCATGTACTGCAGCTGGAATTTGAAACCTAGTTTGCCTCAGGCAGGTTCATTTCCTCTATACTCTACTGTCATCCTCCATACTATTTGTCACTAACCTCTTAGGTTATCAGCTATAGATAAAAGAAACTAAAAGCCTGATACCAATATTTCATTTCTAACATATAAATGTATTTCATAAAAGAATTGCTTCCCTACCCTTGGCTGTAGCTATGTTTTTCTGCTCTGTTCCAATCATTTGGACAAATAGGAAACTGCACATTAGGCAAAGGTCACATGGAAGGGAGTGGATAATATAATTTGCAAAAGGAGAAATGTTATGAATAGCTGATATTTTTAGAGTGTTATCTTTCTTGTTCACAATGGGTTTTGGTTTCCAGCCTGATGAAATGTAAATTTTACAAGGTCTGAGGAAAACTAAGGGATGAGAAGCTGATGCCAAGAAAGAGAAAATATAGGGCTCACTGATAGAGCCTATCTGAGAGGTTGTAGAGGGTAGCAGCTGCAGTCTTTCAGAGTCCTGGGTGAAAAGCTTCTCTCACTGTTTTGCCTTGTTCAAGGGCTCCTCCATGGCATGACTCCCAGTGGGATTTCAGACATCTTAGGTGGGCTGCAGGATTTACAGGGAAGGCATGGCCATCAGGATCCTTCCTTTAAACTCATGCTTGCATGCTTCAAATGGATTCCCAGAAATGCCTAGCTATCCTACTATGATTTTCTAGCATTTTTGTTTCCCCACTTCTCACCTGACTCATGCACACCTTCTCCTCTCTTCTCAAACCTTCCTAGGTTTATCTACCTCTCACTCTCAGCATATGATCTTGTCTTCCGTTTTAAAGAGAAAATTTACACTATTAGATAGGAGCCCTCCTCTTCCTTCACCAGATCACCTCCATCCCCCTTTGTTCTCACTGAGAAGTTTCTCCACCTTTCTAAGGTTTATCCTTACTTCTCTTTTCAAAGAATTTGTTTCTTTGGTCACCCCTTTCTCTCATCCCCTCTACTGGATCATTTCTATCCATATTCAAATGTGCTTTCATCCCTCCACTTCAGCTATGTATCCCAGAACACACTATTCTACTTCCCTTTCCAGTCAGATTACTGTGTCTAGATCTTCTTTTTCTTGCCTCTCATTCTCTACTAAATCCATTCTAATCTGTCTTTGGCTCCCACCATTTCATCAAAGCTCCTCTTGACCTCCGTATTATCAAATCTAATAATCTATAGATCTCTGTACTCATCTGACTTGGACTCTCAGAAGTGAAACTGTGACACAATTAACTCCTCCTTGACATGCTCTCCTCTCTTGGGTTCCAGGAGTCCATATTCTCCTGGTTTTCCTCCTACCTTTCTGGCTTCTACTCCTCTGTAGGTTTCTTCTCCACCTGAGCTAAGGGCAGAGATGTCCAGGGCTTGGTCTTGGGTCTTCTTTTCCTATTTCCTCATACTGTCTCCCTAGACAATCTTAGCCATCCCCCTGGCTTTAAATGTCATATATATTCTGATGATGCCAAATGTTATCTCTAGCCTCTAGAGCTTTTCTCCAACTCACTTTGGTGTATCCAACTACCTACTTGACATCTCCATCTGGATATTTCACTGGCATTGAAAATTTATTTTTTCCAAAAGTTAACTCCTGCTTCATTGCCTCTTTCAGTTCCTCAAATATATCTGCATCTTTTGTGTCTCAGGGTCTTCACACATCCACATCCTCCCCGTAGGATGATCTTCCCTCTGCAACAGATATGGCTGACTTTTCATCTTTCAGATCTTTGCTCCAGTTAAACCACCTCAGAGAGGTCTTTTCTAACCACTCAATCAAAGTAGATTCTCCCTTTGTTACTTTCTGCACTGCACAGAGTTTATCTCTTTCAATAAAGTTATCACAATTTATAATTAAATACATATTATTTTCTTTCCTCTTTTTGGGCATTCTCTCCTGCTAAGCTCCATGTTGGCAAAGACTGTTTCTTTCATCATCTAATGTATTCCCAGTACGTTATAAGGTGCCTGTGACTTAGTCAGTACTCAGTAGATACTTAAATGAATGAAGCAAAATATGGACTACTGGAATGGAATGACTTTGACTGAACATTTGGCCCACCTCCATCTTCCTCATCTTAGTGCTATGGAGCTCCCAACAGCTGCCTGTCCACTCATAGATCTCCTGGAATAAGAATAAATATGGATTTAGGTACATGAAGAAAAAGAGAGCTAGCATATTATTTGATGTTTAGAGGTCTGAGGAGGATTCTTGGACCAGGGCCTTTGAAAAATCTTGTCTCAGGGTAGAAGGATTGAAATGAACACAGCCTAGAATGAGTTTCCTCACTTCCGAAAAGGAATCAGGCCAAAGACATGGTTCGGTTTTCAGACACCCAATCTGGCTGAAAGGACACCCTGTACTTCCCTCTTCTCACTAGTGGAAAGACAAATGGGGACCCAGATTGTGAAGCCTCTGCTCCCATGCCGACTTTGAGTTGCCTGGAAGAGATTAGCCAGGAGACCAAGGCCAGGATGGAGGAAGAAGCATACAACAAGGGGTGAGTCAGACTTCGTCCACCCTGAGGTCACCTGGTAAATCTCAGAAGATACCTTCCCACGGGCCTTTCCTGTTTCTTAAGAGGATTTAAGGAAGCAACCAGTGGCCCTAGGACCGCCTCACCTCAGTAAAGAACTACATAAGAAAGAACAGTACTGTTCCACAGGAAGGACAAGAGGAAGCAGGGTGAGAGGGTGTGGTTAGGCAATAATTAGACTGCCCTCTTTTTAAGCAGAAAGCCACCAGATTGCCACTGCCCAGAATGGTCTGGAAATAAAGCCCCTGGGTGGGTTCCTCTTGGTGGTACCTAAGGCTTGCTGACACATGCTCAGAGGAGTGATGTTGCTATCAACAATGCCCAGGAGTAGCTGTAACCCTGTTTCTTAGAACTGCCCCTGCCATCCCTTCCTTATGTAAACTGGAGCCCCCTCAACTTCCAACTGTCCCCTTTTCTGATTGAGATTCAATAACACCTTTGGCTCATTGTCAGTCACTAAGGGGACAGAGTACTGAGCAGGGCCCAAGCCTAGACTGGTAGAAAAGTATTTCTGACCAGGCATAGCATCCTGAGCTTCTCCTTTCTCCACAGCTCCTAAGAGAGACACAGCTTCCCATTATAGAACCTGTGGGCTTCTGTGTAGCAGCCGTATATACTACGGTGAGGTTGTCCTAGCCAAACTGTGCTTGTCTTAAACATTCAGCTATAGGACAAGCAAAAAGAGTACTGATCCTGGGCAAAGGACATCAGAAGGTTATCTCTTGGGACACCTATCTTTTCTTTCACAATTATCTTTGATACTAAACATGCACAGAAGTAAACACCTCCATTGGCTTTGTAAACATTTACTGAGTACTTTACTAAGCCTAGTATGTGACAGCCACTTCCATAAAACTTCCCAACAAGCCAATGTGATGGGTGTCACCCTTCCTAGGTCAAGCTACATGCCTGACGCTTCCTCAGAACATTCACATACCCTGTGAAATAGGGTATTTCAAAATGCCACCCTTTCCACTTTATAGGTGAGAAGCTGAAGCACCCAGGTTACACAGAAAGCAGATTTTTCTCTCTGCTGAACATTTTGTAGGATAAGAACCCAGTCAGGACTCTGTACCCACATTTTTTCCCTGTCAGTTTTGTCACACATTCACATATAAACAGGAAGGATGACTGAGGAGTGAGGGGAAATTGCACTGACATGAGCTACCTTGGGATTCAGTAGAGCCTCCCAGCTTTTTCCTGTTGTGTAGAACCACAGGAAGTGTATAATTATTGGAGGTGCTCAAGTCCCCACCTCTAGGAACTCAGGAAAGGATGCTCTGTGCCTGGCCTTTCTAGACTCAATTGTTCCTTTTTGCCCTGCAGATACCAGGAAGGTCTAAAGAAGACCCAAGAGCTTCAAGACCTGAAGGAGGAGGGGGAAGAACAGAAGGGTGAAAGCCCTGAAGAAGCTGAAGAGGCAGAAGAAACTGAGGAAGAGGAAAAGGACCAAAGAAGCAGGTTGGAGCCCTTGCCATTGCTGAAATGGGTCACAATTCATTTAATTGCACAACATCCCTAGAGGTGCCCACTCCAGGGCAGCAGTGGGTCTGGGGCCCAAGTGAACATCTAACAGCAACTAAGGAGGGCACTCATGTTGAGGGAGGAGGCAGAGGAAGAAGCCAAAATAGTTAACGAGGGGATGTTTGCAAGATCTGGGAGGTCAGAGGTGGGTCAAGAGTGAGGCCAACAGCAATCAAGAGCTCATAGGAACTGAGAAACTATAAGGACCCTTACTGGAGTACCCCCAGCCCAGCCACAGTTAGCTCATTTCCCAGCTATCCCCATGAGCCAAGAGCCAAGGTCAAGGGAGCTGGCCTAAAGCCCTAGAGGGGGTTTATTACAAGAACAGGGGCAGAAAGAACATATGAAAGTAGGGGAGAACTCAACTTGTTGGCAAAGGAGAATCTCCACCAGGTTCCATGCTGACCAGATAAGTTTGGATTAGAAATATCTGGGCTTTTCTTTTTTAATGTACTTTATATTTCAAGTGTATTTTTCCCTCAATAGAAGGAAATATATAACATGTAGATAAAGGTAGTATACGTTCTGAATTTTGTTGTATCTGTGCCCTCATGAGTGTCTCGGATTTTAACCATACCCTCAATTCCATACATTCTGCCTTATTGTCTCTTATTCGTTTTTAATTTTGATTTTTTAAAATGTGGTTATAAAAAACTTGGAACACCACCAAAGTCTTTGTTTTCAGACCCTAGGCTATCTTGGAGTCCAGTGTGACCCCAGCCAAAACAATTTTCTAATCAGCTGTTAAACTTGAAACAGGGTATGTGTCCGTCCTTCATTGCTAGCAGACTCAAAATCACATGCATGCAGTGAATAAAGTAATAAAATGAAGATTAGAAATGAGATGGATATGCTTCAAAGCACATAGGAACAGCCAGTAGAGTCCAGCTGGAGGAAGATTCAGCCAGAGAGGTCTGAACCTGCGTGGGTCAACCCTAGTGTTCAAGGGAAGAAGGGTCTAGGAGAGCTGGAGAAAATGCTTCACTGTTGAAAGCAAACCTATGCTAGGATGTACTGCCTCCTTTAATGAAAGAATCCCCAAGTTTTAACAATGAAAGTACAGTCCCTACTCCAAGCAGCTGAATCCTATTCTTACATCTTCTCTCCCTCTTGGGGGTCCTCTGCTCTTATATTTTAGAGGTCACTATACTGTCTTCCTCCCCTTTAATGCAGTCAAGCCCAGACCTGGACAACAGCTTTTTCTTTGGCTTCTTTTCATATAGCCAAACAGGCTAGAACTTCTAAAACTTCCACATACTGAGAAAGAACAAAAGAGAACTAAACAGAGTACATGGAATATAAACAGTCTGGTTTACAAAGCACAAGACAGGAATCCTTATCCAGCTAATTGGATCTCAAATTTGATCTGCTAACCACAGCTCCCTCCTATTTTGTGAAACCGCAGGGAAAGTAAGGCTATGCCTGGGTCGCGCCCTGTCCAGCTCCTGGTCAGCAGCACATAGCAATGGCTGCCTTTCACACCCATTGTCCAAAAGTATCCTCCTGGTCCTGTGGATCCTGAGAAGCCTCATTCTCTCTCCTAAACTTTGCATCCTCTCAGATTTACTTTTTGATTTTGAGAACATGCCTGTACCTCAGGTAGTGAATACCAGACATCAGCACAGCCCTTAGAAGGGTGCTTGTCCTTTATTATAGGGGTGTAACTCTCCCTTCTCAGGCCCAGTAGTGAGGCATCATCTTCTCAATAACAAGTGACACTGCTAACATATGAACTGCTCGCTCACAGTTACAGGGTCCCCTCCTCTGTCACCAAAGCCAGGCTGGTCCTAAGAGCCTATTGTCTTTAATTTCAGGCAATCCCCTCATCCATTCCTGAGTTCTATAGACACACAGTTGCCTACAGGCACCTGCACTCAAACATGATTTTCCCCCATTAAATTTTGGCATTGCTGCAGCTGACTCCTTATTTAAGAGATTCCACATCAAACACCAGTCTTTTTGTCTGAATCTCTCCTCTGTTATAATAATGTACAGTCGACCCTTGAACAATGTGGGGATTAGGGGCACCCACCCACCACAGTCAGAAATCTAAGTATAACTTTTGACTCCTCAAAAACTTACCTACTAATTGTATACTGGTAACCTGAAACCTTACCAATAACATAAACAGTTACACATATTTTGTATGTTATATATAATTGCATACTGTATTTTTACAATACAGTAAGCTAGAGAAAAGAAAATGTTATTAAGAAAATTATAAGGAAAATACATTTACACTACTATATTATATTTCCTGAAAAAAATTGCATTAAAGTGGATCTGCACGTTCAAACTCGTGCTGTTCAAGGGTCAATTTTATAAAAATGTAATCCCTTGTAAATATTACTTTCTGGAGGATCAGCTTATTTTTTAAAATGAATTTTGGGTGAATCAACCCAACATGTTTTAAGTAATACATTAAGTAATACATTAAACAAGAGAGACTCACAAAATGCAACAGAAAACTTTAGCCCTTTCTGCCTGTTCAAATCTGCTCTATGGAGTTTAGACAATATTAGGCAGATTCCTTTACTTTTCTAGTAATTCTCAGAAAGCAGAAGTCCTCTGGTCATGTTTAAGTCCCAAGAATAATCTCATTTCATTAATTAAAATGGCCAGTTCTCTAAAATAGTAAAAAACCTGAACTTTTAAAATTTACCCTTCTTTTATCCTGCAGGTCATCTGCTTCAGGAAAGAAGCCTATAGTAGGTGTGGGGAGCATGGCTTCTTTCCCTCTATCCTACTTGCACTTCTACCTCTCCAGTTTTGCCAGTGTAGCATCTCCAGTTTTGCCAGTGATCTCTAGGATCAACAGTAAGAAAGGGAATTGAGATGAAGGGGTTGGGAAGGTATTACTTGAACAGGATTATGAGCAATCTGCAGGGCTTGGCAGGGGGTTGAAGTTGACTTGCTGACTTTGGTTAGTGTGTTGCTTTATGGGACCTCTAGAGAAAACCACTCCTCCCATCTCCCACCATACACACCATTGCCCAGGTCCTCTCAGCTGCTGGAACCTTTATGAGGTCAAATGCATGTCTCATAACTAGTCGCTCAAAATCCCTCTCAGTCCTTGGGCAGCTGGAAGTATACCCTAACTGTTCAGCTTCTAAGTAGCATTTCTGGGCAGGATCTGTGACACCCCATGTCAGCTCTCCTTCTCCTGACTATATCCAATTGAGGTGAAATGTGTACCTTTGGCTCACTATTGGTAGAAGGACAGCTTTCCATATCATGGCCCACTACTCTGATGCTATCAAACATGTCAGCAAGATTCTTGCTCTTCTAACTGCTCATGTGTGAGGCACACACCAGTCTACTATGTCCCCCAAGCCTCAACATATCAAACTCTCCAAGCAGCATCTCTGAAGCCCCTCTTCCCTAGGCCCAGGTGAGAGGGAAGCCACCTCATTCTCCCCTATGGAAGGTCAAAAATCAAAAGCTGATTTCTACAGAGATTCTAGTTCTTTTTTTTTTTTTTTTTTTTTGGAGATGCAACATACAGAGATTCTATTTCTAATCTAATTCTATTTCTAACTCCTTCATAGGCTATAAATGGGGGACCAGCTAAGAGTCACAGAGCCAGATGTTGACCTCCTCCTCTTAAGTCCCACTTCAGAGTGGGATGACAGTGGGATTCTCCCCACTCTAGAAGCTTATTTTGGAGCATGGAGATACAGCCCCAAAGAAAGACTGCATTTTAGCATCCAATTATATCTAAATAGAACTAACGAATCTAAACAAGGCTGAAAGAAGATAAGCTTCCATTTCCAAGATGTCCCTTCCCAACTGTTGTGAAAATAATTAGATTTGCACCTCAGCTAATGTGCTCACTTTTTTGCTTTGCCTAACTGTTCCTGAAACAACCATCAAATGGTTCCCATGAGAACGAGAAACCAATCCGAACCTTAGCATCTGAGGCAGGCACTCTTAGCCTCTGGTCCCTTTCCAAGGAAGGTATTGTTGAGTCTTTCCATCAGTCATAAGGAATCTTTTTTCTACTAACTAAATTAGAGCTGTCTACTTCTCAGCAAATGTCCTGCATATTACAGTGTTTATGTGTGCCTCCAGATCTTCATAAAGCCCTCCTGTTATTTTTCTCACCTCCTCGATTTGGTGATCCTCAGTATCCTTACTTCTTATATTATTTTAAAAAATAGATCAGGGATTAGAAATAGGAAAAAATTCCAGCCTAGTGAATGTGTCCAGGATTTCACTAGAAAGCTAGAAGAATGGACTCTGCAAAGAAGGTCATATGACCAAATGTCTTTTCACTAGGCCACAAAGAGAGAGGGGAAAGTTGAAAGGCAGTTAGGAAGAGAGGAAGAGGGAAAAGGGGAATGAAGCAGCCGAAAAATGGTGACGGAGGAAAGGGAAAAAGAGAAAAAAGGGAGAGTGAAAAGGGAAGAAAAAGGAAGAAGGGAAAATAGGGAGTGAAGATTACTGGGGTTGAGAAAACATCAGACTAAGCCACTGAGAGGTTCCTGGAGGCTACTAGTTCTCTGGTTGCCCCTAGGATGGTTTGAGGTGAGCTCCTGAGGTTGATCTGGCTCCTTGTCATTTACCACTGAACATGGAGAGTCTTCTGGGGGTTTAGCACAGTTCTTCTACTCTGAACGCAGTCAGATATGGAACTGAAGACAATAAAATATGCATCAGAACATGAAAGCAGAGGACAGATTATAACTTGGAACTGATCACTAAATACCACTAAGTACAGAAAAGATGTTGGTCCCATCTGCATGCGTGGGAGTGTGGGTCAGCCAACCTTGTATCCTGGGGATTGAGAGAGAGTTCAGATATCAATGAACATCTCATGAATGCATGAGGGCATGTATGAATGACTGAATGAATGATCAAACAAGAAAAAGGAGGGTTCTAGCACAGTAGCTCCCAATATCAAGGCTATGGACTAGTGGCATTAAAATCACCTGGGGAAAAATTTTAATGTTCCTAATATACTAAACCCTTCTCCTATTTTTTCATTTGACAGCAAACTTGAAGAATTGGTTCATTTCTTACAAGTCATGTATCCCAAACTGTGTCAGCACTGGCAAGTCATCTGGATGATGGCCACAGTGATGCTGGTCTTGACTGTTGTACTGGGACTCTACAGTTCCTATAACTCTTGTGTGGAACAGGCTGATGGGCCTCTTGGGAGATCCACTTGCTCAGCAGCCCAGAGGGACTCATGGTGGAGCTCAGGACTCCAGCATGAGCAACCTGCAGAGCAGTAGGAAACCTGACACCCAGTCGGTGCCCTGCTCCAGCACACAGCTGACTACCCTTTCCCCAAGCATAGAGTTTCAGGTCGGGTGTGGGTATGCTGCCACTAACCCATCAGGAAATGAGCAGGGTTCTTTCACACTCAGCACCCATGTGGGAGCTATGCATACACAAAAACTGATGTTCTCAGAAGATCAACCAAACTGCCCTCGTAAAGCATCTTGTGGATTAAGTCACCTTTACCAAGGAACTCAAACAGAAGGGAAAGTCATGTGCCCCTAGCTCAGATGGCTAGGGAAAATAAAACACCTTCACTGCAGAGGATAGTAAGAAGCTCCCTCTCCCTCCCCTTTTTTCCTCTCTGCAGTCAGAAATCAAGAAGAATTAATTATGCCCACAGGCTAACACTCACCCTGATGATCAGCCCTAGAATTTGGAGTCACAACATGAATATCATCCCATTTCCTATCTCATCCTCACTGACTCTCCTCCAGCCTCCCCTTCTCCCCTTTGGAACCAGAGTTTCTCTTTACAGAAGTAGGAAAGGTTTCTCAGAAAAATAGTTAGGCTGAATTTAGACCAGTGCTTAAAATGAAATGGGAAGATATGAGTTAATATATATACATCTGTATACACACACAACACATACATACATACACACAGCATGCATGTGCATGAAGTCAACAACCCTCCAAATATGTGCTCTCAGTGTGTGTTCTGTATAAAGCCAACCCACAGAATTTTCACTAGGTGTGGGGCAGTCACTAGGCACCTGTTCAATGAGCTCTCCACATGGATTTAAGATGTTTGAAAAACACTGAAAACTCATGATTTCAACAGTGAACTTGCTGGTCTCCATTTCAAGTGCTAATTCTAAATTGTTGTATAACACAGTCTATTCCCTATTTGTCCTCTCCTATTGAGAGCAGTTAACCCACCCTCTCAAGTGAAGGAGGAGACATGGTATGCTTTCAGCTCCTGTGTGCCCACATGCAAATGTGCAGTCTCACCTAAGTGCTTTAGTTTAAACGGGATTTCCAACCCAAGTATATTTCAGAGCATTCCCAACTGTTTAGCATAAAACTGAAGGAGCACATCCCATCTCCAATTTGACTTCTTGCTCCACCTTTACAGCCATTTTTTTCATTCATCCCTCATCTGTTGTGTGTGTAGGGGGGTGGTGTTGGTTTCTTGTGGGTTTTTATTGTGGTTGTTCTGATCTTGTTTTTTTGTTGTTGTTGTTTTGTTGCTAACACTCACATAGAACTTACTGTGAGTCAAGCACTGTTCTAGGTATTATATAGGTGTTAATTCATTTAATCCTCAAAAAAAAAAAAAAGGAAAAAAGTATAAGGTGGGTACTAATCTCCCATTTTCAGATAAGGAAATTGAAGCACAAAAACACAACTTGCCAAGTACATTCAGTTAGTAAATTATGGACCTGGAATTCAAATCTAAGCAGACTGGCGCTTGCACAAAATTGCCTTTTCCAGTGGTCTCCTAACTGCATGCCTTACATTTCAGTCCCACTTACCCCAGGTAGCCCTCCAGCCACTCCAGATTATTTCTGGTTCCTGGACTAAATCATTTTCTCATAGATCTGTTCCTCTACTCACCAGTATTTCTACTGCCATTCTCCTCTTTTCTACTGGTAACTCTTCAGAACCAAGTACAAAAATTATCCCCTCCATACAGGCTTTGATTACCTCTCTCCAACTCCCCACCGTACTCCACATAATGGGCCACACCCTACTTTCTGACACTTTTTAAACATCTTCATTATTGACAGTTGTGACAGTATATCACAATAACTCTGTGTGTGTGTCTATCTCCCCTACTATTTTTCCTCAAAGAAAAGAACCATATCTTATCCATTCTCTGGGGTAAGTACCTAGCATGGCAGCTGATACATGGGAGGGTGTCACTGAATGTTGGCCAAAAGAGCAAGTGAGAATTCAAGATAGTAGAGAGCAGCCTAGAGACAACTGACATTTTGCCCACTTCTCAGTCCCAGCACCTGGTGGGACTGCTACTATCTCAAGAAGAAAAATATCTTTATTAGCCTCAACTTACTCTATTATTTTTCAGCCTACACTGTGAAAGAGCAGAAATGAGACTTAATTGGCAACACCATTTCCAAGCTCAAGGACTGGGCCTGATACAATCAGTCCTTTCAAAAAGACCCACTTAGATTAGCCCTTCTGTAAAACAGCATGTTGTTTTAAGGTGGGGTGGGGGACATCCTTTACAGTGGCTAGAAAACCACTGTGAGAGAAGGCCAAGTCAGGGTTGACCAAGAATGTGCCATTAAGGTAAAGAGGTACAGATCAAGGCAGAGGGACTTTGGGGTCCTGGAAGAATGGTTTTCCCTGCTGTACCAAGGGGGACTGGACACACTGAAAAATATTTTAGGCCTTCAGAGTCACAAGCAGGATGCAAATGGGGCCCCAGAGACAATAGCTGTGGGGCAAAACTCTATCCTGGCAATGTCCAGTCTCAGCCTCCCTTAAAGAAGGATCAGGCTGAGCTGGCCCACAGTCCACTTGGCCACAGGGTTCCCACCTTTGTTACCATTTAAAACAAAGGCCAGGAGAGCAGCTACAGTGAGCTCCTGAACCTCCAGTTGCTCCACAGAAAAGCCGACAAGAGTACTTCCAGATATAGGCCCTCACTCAAAGTACACTATGAGTAAGAGAGGTTGAAGAAAAGAAGAACTGTAAGAAAAATCACATTTCCAAGGGCATTCCTGAAAAAAGTACTCTTTGGCATTTCTTTTCTGAAAAGCAAAGTTAGATCAGAAGCAGGTGGAACATTACCAAGTCTGGTGAAATGGAGAGAAATGGGCCCTGTCTTTCCAACAGTGATGTTGATCTAAAATAAAAGTTCCCCTCAAAATGCCTCTGGTCTGATGTTTCTGCTTAGCCCTAGGACTCTGGTGCCTATCTTGAGTTTCAGTGATGTTTAGTTTGTGTTATTGTTGATATCACCTCCTAAAAGGGCCTTCACCTTGTGGCTGCCACAAAATCCATATATATCATCCCATGTGTATAGGCTGGCAGAGTAAATGGAGAGGGAGATGCTGGATTTGTGTATCACTGGCTGTCAGTTCTTAATGTTGTTAAACCTCACACAGGTGTGTTAGCATTGAACTATATAGTGTCACATACCTGAGTTTGAAAATAAAAGCACATTTCCAAACCTCTGGCAGTAGCCAAATGCCTCCTCATTTTATGGAGCTAAGCCACAATCTTGCCCTAAACCTGAATTAGATCCCCTTAGATATTAGTGCTTCCCAGACCAAGCCCAAAGTCCCCAGGCCTTGGGTCATTGTACTATAGGCTACCTCTTGGGGGTTGGATTGTTTCCTTTCTTTCTCCTTCATTCCTGGCTGATCTTAGTTTCCTATATCTCCTCAGCTTATCATTTTTTCCAGGTATACCATATAATAATTCAACAATTTTCTTTTTTTTAGGATTTTTTTTTTAATTTTAGAGATCGAGCATGAGTGGCAGGGGCAAAGGGAGAGGGAGAGAGAACCTCAAGCAGACTCCCTGCTGAGCACAGAGCCTGATTCAGGGCTTGAGCTCACAATCTTAAGATCACAACCTAAGCCAAAACCAAGAATATGATAATCAACCCACTGCACTGCCCAGATGCCCCTAATTCAATAATTCTATAGATTTCTCAGTGCTCATCAAAATAGTGCCCTCTTAATCCCCTTGATCTATTTCACCCATTCCCCTACCCGCCATTCTAGTAACTCCCAGTTTGTTTTCTATATTTAAATTTTTTGTCTCTTTGAATTTTTAAAATTAATACACTTTGCTGTGCTAGAGACTGCTGGATTTTCACCAACACGATTTCCACAGCTAGACTACATTTTTCAGTCTTTCTTACAGCTAGATGTAGGGGAATGGAGACCCTTCAGATGTAATGCCCTAAAGTAGACTCTCCTGCCCAATATTTCACACTGTCTTTATTTCCCCACTTCTTACCAAATTCAGAAGATTTAGTTGAGGACCTGAGGGCTGAGAAGATGGCAGAACCACTAGATGGAAGCTGGATCTTTGAATGGGCACTCATAGAATACAGCTGTGCCATAAGCAAAAAATAAAATTTTAGTGTATTAAGCTACTGAAATTGTTTTATTTGTTATAGCAGTTAGCCTACTCTGATTAATACATAGATTTGAACCATAATAGGGTGCTTCAATAACAAGTTTTCAAAATGCGAGGCACTGGCTTAGCAGTCAAGCAGCAGAAAACAAGAAAACTAATTTCAGGAGCTAGAAATATGGTGACTCATGTGGTGAATAAAACAAAAAAACTTGGCAAAGTATTTCCCATGAAAACTTGAAAGGCAGCCCATGGGCAGCCTATAGTCCTAGGAGAAGTGCTGGAATAAATCCATGTGAAACTTTATTGGCAACCTTTGGCACATATTGTAAGAAAAAGAAGCACTTGGGAAAGAATTGGCTTTTTGGCAGTAGAAAGAAAAAAAAATACACAGGGTTCAAACTGAAGACTTAGAAAGCCTGACTATTTCTAAACTCTAAACAGAAAGAATAAAAAGAGCTTTCAGTGGGAAAGAACCAATAAAATTTTTCAGTTGAACTCAGATCAACTCAGCCTATGGGAAAACCAGATTAAGGATATGTGTGGTTTGAAATGAACTCAGTGTAGTGCTCAGTGTAGGCACCATTAAATTAGAGAAAGAGAGAGAAGAATGGAGCTGAGAAAATAAAGAAATACATCTTGATAATTATGACTGGGAAAGGATTTGGGGTATGATTATTGGCACATGGAATCAAATAGAAGAAAATAGGTCAGAAATCTAGGTTTGTGAGGGAATTGTATTTACAAAGAAACATAAGCCAAGGTGAAAAAGTTCAATTGTTCAAATTAGAAAACAGCTTTTGGGATCTTCAACTTTATACTAACAGAAGGCAGACTGCAAAAGCTGTGCTACTCCCCAGGAGGGCATATTCCTTAATTCCTACTCCAAATGTGGCCAAGAAGATTGTATACAATGAAGACCTACAGAGATCAGTGGACACATGGGACATGGGAGTTTCTTCCAGGAAGCAGATTCAAGATCTAATCAAAGGTAAGTAATTGTAGTAGGAAGAATTTCTAAAATACATGCCTCCAAGATGTTCCACCCCAATTCCTGAAGCCTTTGAATATGAAATATTACTCCTGTTATATTATACAGTAAAGTAGACCTTAAAATAGGAAAATCATCTCAGTGGGTCCTATGTAATCACAGCAGCCCTTAAAAGCAGAGAGCTTTCTCTAGCTAATGATAGAAGTAGAAGTCAAAGAGATTAGAGGTATGACAAGGACCCAAAGTGTCACTGCTGCTTTGCAAATAGAGTGAGCCACATGAAAAGAAAAGCAGGCGGCCTTTTGGAGAAGAGAATAGACCCCAGTTGAAAGCCAGCAAGAAAACAAGGACCTTATTCCTAAAGTCTCAAGAAAATGAACTCTGCCACTAACCTGAGTGAGCAAGAATGTGGGCCTTACCAGGACCTCCAGGTAAGAGCACACCACTGCCTACACATTGATTTTAATTTTGTGAGAACCACAGCAGAGAACCTAGTTGAGCCCACCCAGGCTTCTGACCTACAGAACTCCAAGACAGTAAAAAGGTATTGTTCTTTGAGAAGATCAACAAAATTAATAGATCAGTAGCCAGACTCAGAGAGAGAGAGAGAGGACTCAAAATCAGAAACGAAAGAGGAAAAATAATATGATTTCACACATATGCAGAATTTAAGAAACAAAATAGATGAACACAGGGGAGGGGGAAAAAAGAGAGAGGGAAAAAAACATAAACGACTCTTAATGATAGAGAACAAACTAAGGGTTGGTGGAGGGAGGGGGCTGGGGGAGAGGTTAAATGAGTGATGGGTATTAAGGAGGGCACTTGTTATGATGAGCACTGGGTGTTATATCGCTAAATTCTACTCCTGAAACCAATATTACCCTATATGCTAACTAACTAGAATTTAAATCAAATTTTTTTTAAAAGAAGAGAAATAACAACCAACACCTCAGAAATACAAAGGATTATAAGAGAATATTATGAAAAATTAATATGCCAATAAATTGGACAAACTAGAAGATGGATAAATTCCTAGAAAACTTATAACCTGCCAAAACTAAATTAGGAAGAAATAGAAAATTTGAACAGAT